CAATAATTCAAAAATACTACGAAATGGAGTGAGAAAAAACCATGAGTTATGACAAAACAAGGAATAACCAACTTTTCCTTCGTGGTCTTAAGGTCACCGTCCTACCGACTTTCGATAAAGATATGCGAATTACTGAGAAAATGGAACTTCAGGACTACGTATAAAGAAATTGTAACAATTGCCTCGGTCACGCCTTATTTTAGATAATCTTCAGACGCCCTCTGCAGATCAGGTTGTGAGAGAGACTTGTCGATCGATATATGAGAGGTTATTAGAACCCAAAACAATCAGTAAGAGATTATGGATTCAGGATTCGGAGGTGGGTGACCATACGATCACTACAAAACACGAGAGAGAGCGATCTATAACCTAACGTTTTGCCGATGAAAATTAACAAAACAAAAAACATCCTAAATAACAGGAACGAAGGTGGACAATTAAACAACTAATATCTCTGACTGCCAGATATAATTTGTGTGTTTGAGATAAAATGAGAGTGGTACTGAGAGAGAAGTAGAGAGAATGGGAACGGGAAGAGCCATCGACTAAGAGAAAACTTGGTTAACCTGGAGTCTGGTTTGGGGCTAAGTCATGAGTACTGCATACGCACAACGCACATTCATCAACAAAGCTAAAACAAGCCTCGATAATACTTAATCATACTCACGTTTATTTACATAAATAAAATCTGTAATCACATATGCTCCTCTTCCTACATCAACTTCACTCGTCTACATGCATGTAGAACAAGCTCAAAGTAGCCAATCAAATTATGGAATCGAAGGTATGAAGGCCAAGATGGTGTGGCATTTCGTATGGTCGCAGTCTCCTTTCATTGTATATAAGTTGTTTGACCTTTTTTTGCAACTTGGCCACATTGGTAGCAAGACCTAGAGGAACTTACCTAGTCCGAAGTCCATAGTATGCACGATAATTTTCAGAATCGGACCGCGGACGTGGTACATTCTCAGAAGTTTCGCCGGCATCCTCCGTGAGCCTTGGCATTCTTAGCACCACACTACAACTCGTAAAAGAGACAAGTGAAGCCGACCCTTTGACCAATTGCCTACTAAACACTTGCACTATCTCTCCTGCCCTATGCTATTCACCAATCCTATATCCTCGTACCACCCCTTCACTATCACCATTTATTATTTAAATGTGACATTGTGTGCCATTTTTTAGTGGATTTCATGAGAACTCTCCAAACCCAATGCCGGCTTTCTTACCCCCTCACTCCGCAATCCTCTTACCATATGTCTTATTAGAAGAAGAGATATCACAATTGTTTAGCAGACTATTTGTCAAAGGATCGGCTTTACTTGTCTCTGACGAATTGTAGTATGGTGCCAAGAATGGTAAAGCTTACTGACGATGCCAGCGAAACGTCTGGGAATGTACTACGTCCACGGTCCGACTGGAAATTATCATGCATACTATGGACTCCGGTTTAGATGCTTTCCTCTAGGTCTTCCTACCAATATCGCTAAGTTGGGAAAACAAGGTCAAACAACTTCAAAACAAATTGTGGAATGTCGCATTAAGATCGCCAAGCTAAATATAAGACGTAAGCCAGCTATCTTTCTTTGTTTTAATGTTTTCTCGTGAATGTTCGTTATTTATGATTTCTGGCTTTAACAATGTCCTTCACATTGTGTCTGAAAGCTCAGCCTGGATTCATCGGGGTCCTATGACGGTGAGCCAAGATCTTCTTCGCACAATCCAACAGTACAAGTAAAAGACAATTCTCCTTCAGTATCCGGTGAGGCCACTTTACGAATCCCTTCCACTGTCCTATTCAGTCGATATGAAAGGTTTGCCAGCACCTTTATACAAATACTCTGAGTGACTACTTCTCTCCGCCTTCATACTCGTATTAGAAAGAACAGTTTTGGTTGCGTTTAGTTATTTGGGTCAACTTTTCCATTGGTTTTGGCATGAGTTATTTGATATTGGACTAGGCTTTCTGGCCGAAATCTATTTTTTCAGCGTATTAAAATTCTGATTCCAATACATAATATATAGGAGAAATGCCCACAATTTTTCCAGAATACCATTGGCCTCGAGTGGGGATTCCCTTTTTTTGGCATGCCAAATGTTAAATAGATTTTTATGGTGTGTCCTAAATATTATATAAACCATACGACCAGAGTAAATAAGTAACTTTTATTAACTTCCTTTATCTTATTTTCACCTTAGGAAACTTGTTTTTAAAAATCCATCTCTATTCGAATTGGTCTTTATCCAGGGACTTCTAGAATTCGATAGAGTTATCCTCTTTCTTTCATCAAAAGTCTTTGCAATTGCAAGCCTATTTTTCTTACAACTATGAAAAACATGTAAATAAACCTGTACATAGATATTTAACAAATCCAACGGAATAAATAAATATGCATGTTGCTTCCAAACTCTCTTCTATCTTCGTTTATTAGTATAGAATCAGTCCCTCCTTCGATTTCCTTGTCCTTTTCTACCTATTTTATACACCGTCACTGCTCGTATGACTATTTTCTCCCGTCTTATTTCACTTAGTTTGGTGATCTTTTTGTAATAATGTGCTATGTTTTCTAAATATTTTGTTTTTTTTTCTTTTAAATTTGGTCTCAGTACCTGTCTACCTACTTTGCAAACAAGTCTTAAACGTCCACAGACAGGTTCCTGGACAAAGATGGAGGCATCCAAACAACCATCCTTCACCATCTCTAACACTATCGCCAGTCCCCCAAGCGCTTCTGTTGTCACAGCCTCTAAGCTACTCTCGACAGCGGCTATGTCAGCCGTCACGGAGTGCAAGAGATACTTCGGGAGCTCTGGACGTCCTCGCATTAAAGGTTTAGCCCACGTCAAAGGTAGACCTTTTGTCGCTGCTTCACTAGCCATGGATGGCTTTGTACCGGAAACCGGGGCCAGAAGAGGCCAGTACGCTCGTACCGCTGAACCTGGGGCAGATGATCACTCCTTTGTGCACACTGACCTTAGCACTAATATGGCAAATGTGAGCAACGCTTACCGGCCTAGTGGTTTGGTTGGCTGCCAACCCAATTGTCTGCTGCAGCACAATGACATAAACATCTGCAATGTTCCTGAGAGTCTTTTGGAGCCAGTTGAAACACATTCAGACCCATTATTAGTCCCAGCCATGACGAATGCTGCTGGCATACGTGGCACAGGTCTGCGAAGAGCCCTCGTGCCAATGCACATGAGTCTTGGCTCACAGGGGATGTGAGCTTATTTGCTTTCCTTTTATTCTATTCAGCATAGCGCAGATCTTTTTAATCATGTTTAAAGAAGCCGAAAATTAATTGAAATAAGCAAGTTACTTTTTAAATGCACACAAGTTAAATTGATGGATAAATCCCATTTTTGTCTCACTTTTATTAGCAATTAATCTAGATCTATCCTCGCAGATAGTTCACTTTTTTCAGTCTTAAGCGCATAAGCAATTTAATCATCGTCGGTTTGATTCTTAAATCCGATTAAACTAATATGATTCCATAGGCTATGGCTGGTTGCTAAATCGCTAATGTTCTTATCGAGTTTATAGTTTTGAGCTAACCTCCCGTTTTTCTTAGATATGCCTAATACAATATGCTGAGTCAAAATAATAATTATTTTTAGTAAAACTTACAAACACAGTTGATATGTAAAAGACTGCTTAACACTGGATAGGAGCGACCTTGTCCTCTGTTCCCTGAAGGCAACATCTAGCATTTGCCCTCTTATTTTAATTTTGGCCAAACTAATTTCGATCAATTATCTTTGGATAACTTTCGTACACAGATATCCTTCAATTAACTGGATATACAAATCGTAGATTTAAAGACCGAGATTTTGTGGTCTCCCCTTTGGTCGCAATCTCCTTTAGCTTTATAGTGTCGATTCGACCTTGTTTTCGCAACTTGGTAGGAGCGACAGGGAAACCTTTTGGATTTTTGGTTATATTCCGTTAAAAATTCCTATAAGTTTGTAAAATTAATTGATCAGCAGATACTTTTAGAAGAAGATAAGCTAGAAAGTTTTGCTGTCGTGTCTATATACACAAATATTCCCGTTCAATGAGCCATTCAGGCTATTGCACAAACTTTGGAGGAGCATCAAGATAACATAGAAGGACTAAGGTTTAGTATAGCCTTAAACCTTAAACTTCTTAACTCATCCATGAATATAAGCAATCTTAACTTTGATAGCAAATTTTATGAACAAACACAAGGGCTTGTGATGGGATCTTGCTTAGCTCCCATCTTGGCGAACAATTATATGACCAAACATGAGGAACACTATTTTAAACAGGCAATGTCAGCTCCTAAATTGTGGGTTAGATACATGGATGAATATTTTGTCACCTGGCCTCATGGTAGGGAAAGGTTATATAGTTTCCTATTTTAACTTAACTAATGTGAAAGAAGCATTCTGTTCACGATGGACATAGAAGATGATAGGCCCTTACCCTTTTTGGACGTTATGAGACTAGGGGATAGCAACAATTTGATGGAATAATAGGAACGGCTGAATAGCTTATTCCTGGAAAATAATTATCCTCTGAGCCTAATTATCAATAATATCTCATTACTGAGGAATAAATTTTCAGACGGAGGCTATTTAGTCGAAGAGGAGACCTTTTCTCATGTCCTAATTTTGTCGTCATGCCTTCTTTCAAATAAGGTAGACAAACTAGTGAGAAATTAGGGGATAAAAGCAGTGTTCGGAGAAACGCTTTCTTCGGTTATGTCATATTTCGAAAAGAAATGTGGCCCATTAACGAGATCAGGATGCTACAAGATTGTATGCTTTTGTGGTCGACCTTATGTTGATGAGACATTAAGGCCCATTCGGCAAAGACTAGGGGAACACAAAAATGCTTGTAAAGAGAGCTGGTTTTAACGGTCAGAAGTGGCCAAACACATGGCAGAGACTGGATATGAGTTAGAATAGTCTCAAACTAGTAGGTTTGCTGATTATGCTACGTCTGTTGTTAAGATGAAGATAGGAGAGGATATTTAAATTAATAGATTAGGGAATGTGAGGAACTCTGGTTGAAAGTTGAATAAGAACTACTTAGGCTTGATTGATAGATTGAAGGAGAGAGAGGGTATCGAGCCGCCATCTAAAAGAAGGCGACTCAACGTGTCCGCTCAATGATGGTTCTAATTTCACCCACATTCGTCCAACATTTTAGATTAAGCTCACCAACCAAACCAGACGTACCAGATTACGTAGCCCTATTTATGCCTTTCCTTGGCTAGTTAAACTTTAATAACCCTAGACTGAGAGGTTAGGACAAGTGGTTTAGTAACTTGACTTACATGCTTAAAAGCTTACATCTCATTAGCTTAACCATACTTGTTTACGGACTTACGCAGTCTCGGTCAGAGCTTTTTCTTGGGTCATTAAGCCTTGATGATCAGAGCATGACATTTGCCTTTTTAATCACTCTGATTTAGGACAAGTATTGAATATAGACGCTAGCACACATACTAGAGCAAAAGTAGCGAGACCAGTATGCAAGATAATTAGCCAAGCCATCCTATATCCATATATGCCTATTCATTTTCGCTTTTAGTTATGAGTATAGATAAGACTTAACATAGACCGGATAGTCTTCTTGACCTAGCGTTAACGTGATACTTCTACCAGAATTAGTTCCAGCTCTGAGGATGTTCAACATATGATGGACGAAAGCTCAGCCCGTTTTCACCCAAAACGAAGGAGGTCTCGTGGACTGGGTCAACCTGAACGTTGTACTATAACCAAACGGCTGCAGTATAACGAGAATCTGCCATGTTCTTTTGGTGATATCGACCTTTGAATCTCTTCTTCATGCACTTTCATACGAAATGAAAGTCTCCCAAACAACTTATAACCTTGAAATATGTCTTTTTCCGAGACGACATGGTATTGTATCCACAACACTGGTCCATTTCGTGTCATCTACAAAGGCGAAAAATACAGATAAACGTACAGTGAGTAACAACTGACTCAATCCTGGCAAGACGACACTAAGCCCCTTCCCGAATACCACAAAATTCACTTTTTTATAGACGCATGCACTTAAACGCTCGATCAATTGCATCCTCGTCTCCAATAAATGAGTTACCAATTCGGTCTACCAGATTGACTTATCATATCAAGTCAAGTCATCCGTTAACTGGAAGCTATTCAGCAACTGAACCGCGCATCATGCAACAAATTAAATATTAAGAACTCCTAACTGAATCTACTTGGGACACTGCCTAAGCTTTCGCCTGAGAAGGACGTCTGCATCTTTATTCGCCATTATGCTCTGTTATTACGTGCAGCCCTCACATGTACTAATGCACTAAATAATGATATATGTTTGGCTGTAGTCATACCTACTTTTTAAAAATCTTTTATATTTTAGTTATTTCCATAGACTTCCTTATTTTACTCTTAGATAACAAGTACTCCTAGCTTATAAAACAATGTTAAATGAAAAATTGTATTTCATGACCTGTATGGGTCCCGTGTTCAGTCAGTACAGCTTTTTTGACCCATAACCCCCTACAAGCGGTTTCCTGTTCATATGATCTCTTAGGCATTGGTCTAAATATCTACCCCGCACAGAAATCTCCACTTGAACGCGAAACCTGATCTAGAGCGAGGCTCCAAAAATTCTCCTAAAAGAAGGAATTATTGAAGAAAGTAATTGGTTCTTTTTATACATAGCTCCACTTATTCAGTAGTTATTCTAGCTTTTTCGAAGGTTGACAGTTCTGAAACATCGGAAGACAAGC